TCTACTTTCATCTTAACAAACCACTTTATCTCAATTATTATTATTACATAAAATAAAATACATGAAAGTGCCTCTGAAGAGATGGAATCAATTGTCTCGCTTTGTGAACGTATATAATTGGACTTGCCCTCCAGAAGCAACATATTTATGCTTGAAGTTGATGCTAATACATATTTCATAATATAGTTTTATAATAACCATTCATAATATTAAATAAGTAAATATAGATTAATTGGCATTTTTATTAAATAAAAATAATTAATCAAAATTATTACACACTAAAATTATGAGATTGTTGCACCAAAACTCTAAATTCCTTTGACTAAGAGTGTATTCTCTTTCTTAAATTATCTATCATTACAATTAATTTGTAAATAATTATAAATAACACTTTTATATAGTATATGAATGATAATTAATTTTTTATTTCAAAATGTCAATTTTCAATATTTTAATTAAAAATCTATTTTTCATGTTAGCATTATCATTCAATTAATCATTAAATAGAAAAACATTGAAAGTTGGTATCCTTAAATAAAAAAAAATAAAAATTGATATTTTTATTTAAAAAATAAAAAATTTAACATTTTTAAATAAAAAAAAATCTAAAATTGACATTTTTATTTACCCATTTTATCATTCATCTCGGGTGTAGTTTATTTTATTTTATTTTATTTCATCTTGGTTGCACAATGAGAGGCAACCATCTCTCATCTCTTATTCCACCTCACTTACATGTCATGCAACTCGAATTCAAGACTTTTTATTTTCAGTAGAAAAAAATAAATACTAAATTATTTAGGTCGTTGACATATTGGGTGTGGTTTAGATTACAAAACCCATAACAAAGAGAAAACTGTGGGCTTAGGATGTCAATTGGGCTCTGGCATTCAACGGGTTTTCGCATTGAGGCAGCCCAGAAATAACAAAAAGAATAGGTTGGGGCATTCCGAGAATTGAACTCGGGACCTCTCGCACCCTAAGCGAGAATCATACCACTAGACCAAATGCCCTTTGGTGCTCAATATTTCCCTATAAATTATTATATACTTATAAAAAAAAAATCCCAGCATCATAACCGAAACGGAAGCCAAAAACCCTACCACTCTGAAGTTTAAACTTCCCGATTAGAGCAAAGAAAAACTCTCTGAAGCTGATAGAGATGGCACGAGCGGCTCTCTTTCACCTGCTCCGATCCCAATCCAGGCAGCTTGCTTCAAGAAGCGTCCATTCAGGTTCTTTCTCTTTCTACCCATATTTGCTTCAGTTCCTCATTTTCACAAAAGATCACTAAACCCATCGAAGCAATAATTATCTGTAACTCCTGAGATCTTCTTCCAACATTTGATTTCTTTGGCTAGCTTTTTTGGGTTCCTTCCCTCCATAAGGGATTAGCTTAATTTTTATTAACAACGTAGAAATTTAATTTATTGATCTCCACACTTGATTTTTTTTTTTTTTACTGTGTAATTTGGGTTTCGGGCTGCTAATTGTGAAATGGAAAATTGGTTTCTCAAATTATTAGTAGCCACACAAGTAACACAACTAGCTAAAGAAGGAAGCTTGAATTGGTTTTGTTCTAATAGGACACTTACAATTTCATCATTTTATTGCCTTCTGTATGTTATGATACCTATAACTGATTTACTCATATTTTTTAAAAAAATTGTTATACATGTTTGTGATTCTAAAGTGTTTCTCCGAAGCAAATTTTTTTTATGAGGTTAAAATTCATGGGGTGTAATGGAAATGGCGAAAGTCTCATATCATGGTAACTTTTTGTTGATTGTTATGATACACTGTGCCAAAGAATTCTGTATACAATATCCAAGATGATATTCTTTATTCAAATGGATGGTGTGGACAATAAAGGTTGAGGCTCTTTCAATTTTTGTATGCTACTCTTTTCTAGGCTGAAAAACTTCAATGCAAAAGTTTGTTATAGGTTGATATCTATAAGATTTAAGATGTAATTTTAGGGAATTGATTCTCACTGTAGAACGTGATTCTACTTTGCTTTAGGTTTTCCTCATAGATTTGGAGCATGGTCATACACCCAGGGCATCAAGCCCAACTTTGATTCCCCTGTTAAGGTTTTTGCTTCCCAGAAAAGATGGGCATCTCCAGCCACTGCAGCAGAAGATGACAGCAAAATCAGCATTGGTCCTCATAGAGGTGGAGAAGATGGGAGAGATGAGAAGGACACGGGGATTGTTTACTATGGGCCTATCTCATCCACCATTAAAAAAGTGAAGCTGCTCTCTCTTTCAACTTGCTGTCTCTCTGTATCATTAGGTCCTGTCATAACCTTCATGACGTCTCCAGATATGAACGTGATTCTCAAAGGTGCAGTGGCATCTTCTGTGATATTCATAAGTGCTACAACCACAGCTGCTCTTCACTGGTTTGTTAGCCCCTACATTCACAAGCTCAGATGGCAGCCCGGTTCAGACAGCTTTGAGGTGGAGATGATGTCATGGCTGGCAACATACATTCCTCGGACCATCAAGTTTGCTGACATCCGGCCACCAGAGACCAACAGGCCGTTTGTGACATTCAAAGCCAATGGAAATTTCTACTTCGTGGATGTTGAGCATTGCCATAACAAGGCATTGTTGGCAAGACTCACGCCGCGGAAACATGAGTCAGCTTTGAAGAACTTGTGATTAGAAACACTGCTTTTTATATGAATAACTTTATCTTCAAAGTTGTAAGATTGTGATAAGCCTGGCCTTGAGTATTTCAAGCCTTCTTAGGCATTTCTTCTAGTTTAGTGATTACTTAAAACCAAAGTGTTTTGATCTGAATTTTTTTTATTTTACATATCAAGTTTCCTTCATTTGAAATTATAGAATTTATAGTCAAATTGGCTTCCTCGAGTGTAATAACAGTGCCATTTACTTGAAATTTAGATCACTTGTATTCTCGAAATGTCGCTGTATATTTTACATCCACTAAATCTTTGCAGCAGATGCAATGCACCAAAGGCTGCAAACGTCTTACACGAGCCTGGTGGTCATGTGTACCTTGCACAGACATCAACTCAAAAGTGGTACTTAAGGGAGATTTACAGTTGAACCAAGCTGAATACAAACATTTGCCAGTTCGAATGTTATCGTCACATGTTTTAAGTACTAACATTTGTTCAATTGTTGGGCTAACATTTGCGCGATGTAATTAACAAATAATTCCAATGGAAGGCTCAAGACACCTTACCATAGATCAGGGTCAGATTATATCCCACAACTTATTTCTCAAACAGAAAGGTCCTTCAATGATTTTGCCCACATAAAGAAAGCATCAACTACTTTCAGCAGGGAAACAAGTTAATAAGAGATCTATTTGAATAAACATTGTTTTGATAAAGGAGAGGAGAAGATATAGCCAGAAAAAAAAAAAAAAAACAATCTATATATATTATATAATGTAGATAAGCTTCCAACGAGCTAGGGAAGAAACCCTACTCCTGAGCACTTTAGGATGACCAACATATAACAAGGACGAGTTTTTAACACAACAAACAGAGACTGACTCAAGATAGTAGTAACCTTGCCACCGCCTGTCAAGAACCCAGTTCTGCGAACAGCATCCAAGAGATGACGGTGAGGACTTACAACTATAGGCATCAAAACAAAGACCTAAACATCCTTCAGGTTGCATAACAGCAACAATCCAATCTTTATTATAGTAATAGCCATGGTAATCTCCATGGGAATAAGCCAAAACCTGCACGGTTCACTTGCCACCCTTCTTGGCAGCAGACTTGGTAACCTTAGCTCCAGATGGATCCTTCTTCTCCACATTCTTGATAACACCAACAGCAACCGTCTGCCTCATGTCCCTCACAGCGAAACGTCCAAGAGGAGGATACTCAGAGAAGGTCTCCACAACCATGGGCTTCGTTGGAATCATCTTAACAAACCCAGCATCACCATTCTTTAAGAATTTAGGCTCCTTCTCAAGCTCCTTACCAGATCGCCTGTCAATCTTTGTCACCAGTTCAGCAAACTTAACAGCAATGTGAGACGTGTGGCAGTCAAGTACAGGAGCATAACCATTTCCAATCTGCCCAGGGTGGTTCATGATGATGACTTGTGAGGTGAAGGTTGCGGCCTCCTTGGCAGGATCATCCTTGGAGTTTGAGGCAACAAATCCACGCTTGAGATCCTTCACAGCAACATTCTTCACGTTAAAACCAACATTGTCACCAGGCAAAGCCTCTTGAAGGGCCTCATGATGCATCTCAACAGATTTAACTTCAGTGGTCAACCCAGTAGGACCAAAAGTGACAACCATACCGGGCTTGAGGATACCAGTTTCAACACGACCCACAGGGACAGTTCCAATACCTCCAATCTTGTAAACATCCTGAAGGGGGAGACGAAGAGGTTTGTCAGAAGGCCTCTTGGGCTCCTGGATCAGGTCGAGTGCGTCGAGAAGGGTTGGACCCTTGTACCAGTCTAGGTTGGTGGACCTCTCAATCATGTTGTCACCCTCAAAACCGGAAATGGGAACAAATGGAATTTTATCTGGGTTGTATCCAACCTTCTTCAAATAAGAGGAGACTTCCTTCACGATTTCATCATACCTTGCCTTGGAGTACTTGGGGGTTGTGGCATCCATCTGTTGTAAAAATAAACAAAGTATCAGCAACACAATTATTAAAGAATCACAGTGACAACTACTAATGGACTCTGGTTCATATAGTTAACATACCTTGTTACAGCAGCAAATCATTTGCTTAACACCAAGAGTGAAGGCAAGGAGAGCATGCTCACGGGTCTGTCCATCCTTGGAAATACCAGCTTCAAAACCACCAGTGGTGGAGTCAATGATAAGGACAGCACAGTCAGCTTGTGAGGTCCCAGTAATCATGTTCTTAATGAAGTCACGATGTCCAGGAGCATCAATGACAGTGCAATAGTATTTGGTGGTCTCAAACTTCCACAAGGCAATATCAATGGTGATACCACGCTCACGCTCTGCCTTGAGCTTGTCAAGCACCCAGGCATACTTGAATGACCTCTTGTTCATCTCAGCAGCCTCCTTCTCAAATCTCTCAATCACACGCTTATCAATGCCACCAAGCTTGTAGATCAAGTGACCAGTTGTGGTCGACTTACCACTGTCGACATGGCCAATAACCACAATGTTGATGTGAACCTTCTCCTTACCCATGACGCAGTCTTAGTTTTCACCTGCACCACAAATTCAAAGACAAGAAACAATCAAGAAAATGACTAAACTAAAACTACAACCTTTTAAATTCATTCAGATAGAAAACATTACACAGCCACCATACCAACAACAGATTCCTAAGAAAGTACAGCAACCTAAGAAATTATACTTGGCCAAACATTTACATTTAAATTGTTGAATAGAAATAAATAAAGGCATAAATCAACAATTCAAGTTAATATAGATCAACATCAGGGTTGAAAAAATTCTCAAATAATCATCATCAACAAAAACTGAAGCAATCTATGCTGGATCTAAACTGATATTAGATATGAAATCATAAGCATTCTCAGACAACTGTACTTCTCCTCCGATTGTATAACTCAATCTCAATAAAGTGAAACTAAAATTTCCTCATCTTACTTAAAATTAGACAAGACAACAATAATAGTACGATGAAAACAAAACAAAAAATCAAAATACATAACAATTTCTCAAACAGAAAACAATCGGATTTCATCTACATCAAAATCTAACAGATAGATATCATCAATCTTCAAAAACAAAAGAATTAGAAGAATTAGAAGAATTAAATTAAGAAAGAGAATCGACATAAAGATCTTTACAAAAGAACGCAGATCTTCAACAGAGAAATGAGAACCAAAATGAAAAGGAAAATCAACAGAGCAGCAGAAGAACAGAGTTATGAATCAAGGGAATATGAATCGGAGGAATCGAATCAATCTACGTTCAAGAAAGGAAACGAAAAAGTGAGATCAAGATCACGGACGAACCTGACGAGAAAGCAGCTTTCGTTAAAACCCTAGCGGCAAGGAGACAGAGAAGCAATGAGTGTGTAGTGGGGTTTCAAGTGTTGCTACCGTCGATTTTTATATCATTTGTTGGAGATTGTGTTTCCGTAAATGCCCTTTTGTTCGGTCATTAATCCCCGCGCTCTT